ACTTACACAGGCTCCCAGCAACCCCAGATGCACAGGCCAATCTAGTTTCATTTTGCTCTTCTTTCCTGGTTTGCTTTATAAGGGCAACAAAGGTCCCCCTCACAGACGACTACAGACTCTGTGGGGCCGATTGCAAAATGAACATGCAGGGCTCCTTGTTCAGGAAGCAGAGACACAAGGCCATTAAAGGTACTAAAAGCATTTTGCTTTTCTTCGGGGGTCTCTCAACTTCTTACGGTGCCTTTTATTTATTATTTATGTGAGTCCACACTAAGAAGAATTAAAATGTTAAATTGTGAGCGTGAACTTTACCATTCATTTCGATATTGTGCAATGCTGGTTTGAAATGCAAATGTAAGAGCTTCTCACTCCTATGCAGGATCATGGAAGCTGCACAGCTGGTAGTGCACAGCTTGTGCAGGCATCTGGGCTTCTTTCTTGTCAGAACAGCAGGGGCGCTGCACGGAATTGTCAGCTGTGTCTATTTCACCCCTTGATCCATGCACATCTGTCCACATGACCTTCGGCCTGCTATTGGCTAAGGAAGGATGGAAAGGAAAAACACTAGGGACTTCCTTCTCTTTCCTTTCCCTCTCTGCCATCATTTTTGGTGTAAATAATTAGCTGATACTGGGAAACAGTGGGAGAAAGAAAGGAATGAGAAGGTCCTGGTTATTCATGTTTCTTAGACCACCATTGCCTTTCTGTGCTTGAAGTAAATCCTGGTTCAACTGGAAAGCATGGCCTCTGAGAATCGTCAGCACCTCTACCTCTTCAGCTGTTAGATGAACATGCTTGTCTTGCACTTGGTGGAGTCTCAGTGAATTCCTGGGGTTGTGGGCATTCTGTTCTCATGGGATATCACAGACACTACATGTGAATAGGGTGGCAAGAAACAGCCAACGTTGTATCTCTGAGCCACTGTCCCATGGACTTCGCTTTCCAAATACAGTTCAAAGAATTTCAAGAAGTGACAGCAGAGCATTGAACCATGTCTGTGGTTCCCTTCTGAGCACAGAGCCCTGTGTGACAACATAGGCCACGTGCCCTGGCCCTGCTAGGGTTATTAACATCAGTCGAGCTTTGTGTAAAACCAGATGGGGAGCCTGCTAATAAAGTATTTCCAGGACCTAACTTCAAGGATTCTCATGTAAATTCTAGAATCTGTATTTTTTTTATAAGACCTCTGTGTGATTGTGATGGGCGTCCAGGTTTGCAAAACCACCCCGTAGAGAAATTCCAAGCCCTTGAAATATGTCCACCTGCCCTAGCTGGTTTTGCTCAGTGGCTAGAGCATCAGCCTGCAGACTAAATAGTCCCAGGTTTGATTCCGGTCAAGAGCACATGCCTGTGGTTGCGGGCTTAATCCCCAGTAGGGGGTGTACAGGAGGCAGCTGATTGATATTTCTCTCATCGATGTTTCTAACTCTCTATCCCTCTCCCTTCCTCTCTGAAATCACCTGGAAGGCACAAGTCCAGAGTGGAAGGAGTGACAAAGGGAAACAACCCTGACAGACCCATGGGTTGTAAATAAGATGCTAGCACCATGCTACAAAGGCATGTCTGTGGTTCCCTGCCTTTGGACATAAAAGAATTGGAGGCAAAGAAATATGGATGTGGAGAAATCTGGAGCCAGCTTGCTCCCTGCAGGCTCAAGACCAACCATCCCACATTGGCGGGGGGGCGGGGGGGAGATTCTGTCATCTGCTTGACAGTCTGATTGGCTCCCTGGCTCTCTGATGCCCACCCCTTGGAGCATCTACGTCTGTGCCCTGTAAGCAGGGGTATCTGTACACTGACGTCGGCCTCTTTCCCCAGGCTGCTCCTTTCTGAGGCCCCCAGCCCTGGGACTGACCCTGCCTTTCCACCTGGCTCTCTAACCAGCTTCTTCAGAACCACCTTCAACTGCTCCCTCTTCCTCAACTCTTCACTCCAAATGGATCTGTTCTTTCAAATTTTCCTTCCAGATCACACACTGATGCCTTGTGTACACCCTTAGCCTCTGCTATTGCACTGAACAAGGTCAAGGAGAGAAAGACCTGCATGGGGTGTAGGGAGGTGGGCTCCCGAAGGCACTGGAAAGCAGAAGACGGAAACAACATTTAGACATGTTTGAACTCGGCCTCTGTTTTGCTGATGGCTCTGCCCCAGACCCTGCCTTGACATTCTTTCCTCTGGAGTCTCTTGAATGACCTTCCAATGAGACTCCTTATCTGCCTCCATGTCTGCCCTCAACACGGCTTTGAGATTCCTCTAAAATCCAGCTCTAATATAATTCTCTTATTCGAAATCCTTTCATGGCTCCTGAAACTCTCGAGAAAAATATTTAAATCCTTTATTGTCCGATATCAGGCCCTTAAAGAGATGGCTGCTTCTGCCACAGACACGAAACACCAACCAGGCCCAGCGCTCAGCAGGTCCGTAAGCACCTGTTCTCTGCTCCTCCGGGGCTTTGGCAATGCGCTTCCCTCTGCTCTGAACAGCCCACTTCAGCCCTTCCCCTTTCCTCATCCGCCAGCCAATTCTTGTTTGTCGTTTTATGAGTTGGCTAGAAACCAACTTAAAAATCACCTCCTTTTCAATTTCCTAACCCTCCTCTCCACCCCATCGTAATAACCATCCCCCATTGCTGCTTCTCCTCTGTTCCCCATGACACTTGAGACCAATCTCCTGTGTCCTCCCAATCAGGCTGTGAGGACCTGGAGGAGAACGCGGTTCCTACAGGAGAGAGGCTGGCAGCAACTGGAGGCAGGAGGAGTGGCAACAAGACCCGAAAGAAGGCTGGCGCAAATAAATCTGCTCTCCCACCACCTCCCAGCTCAGTGGGCAGGATGCCGTTCCCATACCTACCCCCTAGACCCGTGGTCGGCAAACCGCAGCTCGCGAGCCACATGTGGCTCTTTGGCCCCTTGAGTGTGGCTCTTCCACAAAATATCACGTGGGGGCGCGCACGTACAGTGAGATTGAAACTTCGTGGCCCATGCGCAGAAGTCAGTATTTTGTGGAAGAGCCACACTCAAGGGGCCAAAGAGCTGCATGTGGCTCGCGAGCCGCAGTTTGCTGAGCCACAGTTTGCTGATCACTGCCCTAGACCACTGGGAAGATGACTCAGATGCCCACCAGAATTTCTCAAAAAGACCACCATTCACAACCCACAGATAACTCGCTGATCATTCTCCTCTCCAGCCCTCTCGCCCTAGGACTTTATCTCAACTGCTGCCTGAGAGACTGTCTCCAATCTCTCACGGAGGTTTCTCTCCTTTGTGCCTAACTGCCTTCCTGAATCTATGTTTCCTCCTGGGAGCTCTTTACACTTTAAATATACAACCCAGCTAACCTGCTGCAGCACTGCAGGTGGAGAGAGAGAGAGAGAGAGAAAGAGAGAGAGAGAGAGAGAGAGAGAGGTGCTATTTGTTCCCAACGTGCTTAGTCATTGGTACGGCATTTAACACAGTGGCTCTCCACCTTGGCTGTAGATTAGATTCACCAAAGGAGCATCCAAAAATAACTCAGCTCGGGGCCCAGGGAAGACTTATTAGGGAAACAGAGGCAGAGTTCAAACATCTCTAAATGATATTTCTTTTCTTTTTTAATCCTCACCCAAGGAAATTTTCCCATTAATTTTTATAAAGGGTGGAAGGGAGGGGGAGAGACAGAGAGAGAGAAACATCAGTGTGAGAGAGGTTGCCGCCACATATGCCTCACCAGGGCTGGGGATCGAGCTTTCAACTGAGGTAGGTACCAGAATCGAACCTGGGACCCTTCAGTCCACGGGCCGATGGTCTATCCACTGAGCCCAGCCGGGTGGGACTAAATGACATTTCTGTCTTCTGTTTTCCAGCACCGTTGGGAGCCCACCTCCATTCCTGCTGGTCTTTCTATCCTTTACCTTGATCAGCCCAACTGCAGAGGCCAAGGGAGCAGACAAGTCCCCACGCTTAGCAGTACAGGAGGGGGAGGCTGTACATACGATAACAATTCCATCCATGTCCAAGAGCTCACTCCTGCTTTTTGCCCTGTGATTAAGCCTCTTCTTTCTATGGGGTCCTTACATTGCTCTTCCCAGCAGAAGTCCTTGCCTCAGTTCCCTACCTGCAAGCCTCAGTATAAAGGTCTACAAACACACCTTTTAGAAACTGGGGGATGTTTTTTGATCCCACTTCCCTGTCAATAGATCGTTTGCCTCCACCTTGTTCTAGAAGCTCAGTCTTTACCTAGGTGTGTTCTGCCACCTGCCAGTTCTTCACATCTGCCAGGTCTTATACCCTTAACCATCCCAGGCCTTCCTAATGCCACCACAACTACTGCCAGAACCTCTCCCTGGTGCCTGATGCTAAATCTCTCTTCCAACCATCTTCCCTTTTCACATGGGTCTCTCTTAGCGGTATCCTGAGTTCTCCGGGCCCTGGAATTCACTGTGCTGGAGGGTGGCCCTGCACTCACGGGGGAGAGAGAGAAGGAGGACACAGAAGCAACCCACCTTTCCCTAGTCGCGGTGGCATGGCCAAGAGCTTTTGCAATAGAACAAAGATAACATACCCTGAGCAGCCATAGAAATAGATCTTCTTTATACTCCCCTCACACCATGGAGAGAATTTCAAAGCTGATGCTAGGTTACCTCCATCGTTTGAATCTTGTTAACCACCAGAGCAGTTTTACTCCATTAGAAAGACCTACTTATTGTACAGTACACACGGAATTTCACCCAGACCCAAAAAAGGAGCTTTTAATTCCAACGTTTTAGGTATTAATTATATCCCTGGGCTGACGAGAATCCTCATGGCTTAAAAAGAAAAACACCGCTTAGTTCTCAGTGTCCGTGGGTGTGAATATAACTGTAGGCAGTCACACACACACACACCCGAGAGCTGATGAGAGGCTGGGCGTCTGTGATAACTCACTGCCCTGCTCTGTAACTCAGAAGCAGCCAGTGAAATGGAGCTGGCTGGACTCCCGACAGTCCTCCCGATGAGCATGCCCCCGGCATCTTCTCATTCCAGGGCCGAATGGCGATGACTTCCTGGCAGTGGGTTTGCACAACAGCCGCGTGGTGTACAGTTAGAACCTGGGGTCCGGCATCGCAAGGATCAGCAGCGATCCTCTGGATCTGAGCCTTGGGGTCCACACGGTCCATCTGGGGAGGTTCTTCTGAATGGGCTGGCTGAAGGTAAAGAGTCATCCCTTCGTCTGTCCCTCAGACTTCTCAGTGCTAGCACAGTGTTTGGCCGGGTCTGTGCAAAGGCCATAGGCTGTGCAAAGGTGATAGGCCGCGCCACGCGTCCCCACGAAGTTCACAAAACCAGTGTACAACATGGAGGACCAGAAGAATGATGTCAATTAAGTGACGCGGGAATAGGTAAGGGGGGGGGGGGGCTGATAGAAATAAGGAGAGAGAACGCATTCAGAAGATGCTTCCCCAAACAGGTGACGAGGGAGCCTACCTTGTAATAAATAGGAGTTTGGAAAAAGAGCAGTGGCCAGGGTGGACTCAAAGAATACAAGTATTTGGGTTTGGCTTTCAGGTGAGGGGAAGCAAGAGATGTGATTGGAGGTAGACAGGGTCTGTACCATCAAAGGACTTGGATGTCACACTAAGAAGTTTGATCTTTATCCAGGGAGCTATGGAGAAGGACTGTGAAATTTAAGAAGGGAGGGTGGGTACCACAGTTGGTTTCCACTTTTTGGTAATGACTCTGGTGGTTGTATTGAGAATGGGTGGGAGAGGGAGGCAAGGCTAGATGGAGGAGGACCAGCAGGATGCCGGCTCCTCAATCTTTGAAGAACTGTGATTTTGATTGAAATGCAAAACCACCACTGCTATATTAATATATCCATGGTAACAGACACCTGCAGAGAAGCAAGGAATTGAGTGGTGAATTGTTTATTTCTTCAAAATTCAGGTCTTTGTCATGCCAAATTAATGGGAAATAAAAAAGAGTATCTTAACAGTTCACCCTGGGGAATTAATTCCTTTTTTAATAGGTTTTGATTTTTTTTTCCTTTTGAAGGTAGATGATCATCAAAATAAATCCATCATCTCCCCAGGAAGACTGGTTGGTCTCAATGTCTTCAGTCCGTTTTATGTAGGTGGCTACAGTGAATACACTCCAGATCTCTTGCCAAATGGAGCCGATTTTAAAAATGGCTTTCAAGGTAAGGCATGGATGATATTTATACTATACCCACTTGTTTCAAAATTTTGGAAAAGAAAAAAACATTTAAAGAGTATACTTCTAGTTCCCAAACCAGCAATTTGGATTGCTTTCTGATTGGACTTGATCAAAGTTTGATTTTAAAGGAAAGCATTTATTCTTATTAATCACTTACTACCTATGTGCTAGGTATTTGGGATGTTTCAGTGGGAAAAAAACACAAAGATTTTTATACTTGTGAGTTTACATTCTAGTTAGTCAAAAGAGGGAAGAGATAATAAACACTACATATAATAAATAAGGAAATTATATAGTGGTATAAGGTGATAAGTTCTGTGGAGCAAAAGAAAGGAAAAGTCGAATGTGAGTGATTTTTTATATAGGGTGCTTTTTAATATAGGATAAGTAGTGTAGACCTCATGGAGTCACAGTGAACATTGAAATTCCAGCCAACTTTGGGATGTAGTTGATATAAAAGATGAGTGACAGACTGCAGCCAACTAATCCATACCACCAAGGTGTGGTCCCACTGAGGCCACCAGAAACCAAGAGGATTAAGACCCAACACCAGCCCTGGCCAGTGTGGCTCAGTTGGTTGAGCGCTGACCCATGCACTGAGAGGTCATTGGTTCAATTCCCTGTCAGGGCACATGCCCTGGTTGCAGGCTCGCTCCCCAGTAGGAGACCTGCAGGAGGCAGCCAATCAATGATTTCCTCTGTTCAATGTTCCTCTCTCCCTCTCGCTTCCTCTCTCTCTTGCTCTAAAATCAATAAAAACATTTTTTTTTAAAGAAAAAAGACCCAACACCATGCTTGGGCAAATAATCAGATCACCATCATCTGTTTCCTGTGTTCAAAAGGGAACATACATGCAGATCTTTCCTATAAAAGTGATTCATAGCAGTTATAAAATAAACACATGCTTCGAATTGTTATAATAATGCATTTCGTAACAATAAGCTTCTTGGTGGATCCTTAGTCCCAGAATATTTGGTCAAGGGGCTGCTCGTTATAGTGTCCTGAGCCATTCTCCCACGACCAGCCTACTCTCTATCCGAAACCAAGGAGCAGGTACCAGGATGTGATGCAGGTCCCTGTGAGACATCCGAAGCCCTCTCAGGCACTTGAGCTCTCTGCCTGCCGGCACCATCCCTTTCCCCACCTTCACCGACTTCTGCCTAAACACTGACACAGGAGGCCACATACTAGAAACATATTGAAAGCAACACAGCTAATCCAACATAATACAAGGGCGGGTTTCAATACAAGTAGTTCATTGTGCCAGGGCTCTCAGAGAAACATTTTCTTTGACTATGTAATCAGTGCTGATTCTCACAAGGGTGTGTTAAAGAACAGTCTGAAGCAAGTTAAGGCGCTATGCTAAATATGATCGGGAGCTCAATAGTGCTTTCACAGCAGGAGACGGTCTGGAAAGGATTGTGAGGGCATAACAAATCAATGAGTTTTTAAAAACATTCAGTTGGAGGGAAAGGATGGGTAAACTTATGAATGTGTAAGAAGCACACATCTTCCACTCAATGAAACAGAGACCCCGTTGGAGAGTCATCAGAACTTGCTGTCATTTAATCACAGACACGATGCTGACATAAATACTCTGGATCCAGCATGAAGGATAAAAATGTGGGCTCGGAACCCATCTGCCTGGGTATGCACCTCAGCTCTGCCACCAACAAGCTTCGTGACCCTGGCTGGTAACCGAACGCCCCTGGGCCTCGCTGTGCCTCATCTGTAAAATGGGATACTAGCCGCACTTGTCTTGCTTGTAGTTCTGAGAGCGAGTTAATGGAAAGAGAACACAGATTACCTCCTGGCTGAGAGTGCTCCCTGTGCTAGTGATGATGGTGGTGCTGGTGGTGGAGGTGACAGAGCCGCGGTCACACACTGGCTTCTCTTTCTCTGCTGCCCAGACGGTGGGTAAGAGCACAGGCTCGCCGTCAGGCTGTCTTCAGATTCGGGCCCTGCCACCCAGCAGCTGTGTCCCTCTAAGCCTTTTACTTCAACTCCCCAAACCTCCACTTTTCCTCTGGAAGATAAAATACCTACCCCATAGGGTTCTCGTGAGTTGATCAATTAGCTAAAGTAATGTTAAGTGCTCAACCTAGAAAGCAGCACCTGATAAACACTCAATAAATGTTAACTAATAGCTGTACTCCATCCTTGTTGTCATTGGACTTGACGTTTTCAGATTTACTGGAGTCCAAAGCTTCCTGGTTTGCTTGTGTTATTTTCTTCCCTTTATTAGGAACTTTTCTTCACATCTTGATAATGAGAACAAAGAGAGGCTTTCTTCAAAACCTGTCATTTTCTCCTTAAGTGTGTTATGAACCCGAGTTCAGCACTCAAACAGCTGGCCCTCCTGTGAGAGAAACTCCGGACGGCCGGTCTGGAAGGCTGCCAGCGCCACGGTCCTCAGTTAGGATGGGAATTTGGGGAGGGTCCTCTTGGAACTTGACACTTAATCCACAATCTTACCGAAGCTCCAGGACCTAATTTTATCATTTGACTCTTGAATTCTCCCTTTCTGTCTGCCTCTTCTCCATTATAAACCAGCATTTACTATGAACTGTAGGTTGTGGACAATCATTACCAACCTACCATAGATACCAGATTGCAACTAAACCGTAAACCTATGCTTTCCCAAAACTGAACTCTACTGGTTCTAGAGAAGGATATAGGGTGACTTCTTTAAAATATGGACTTCTGAGCCCTACCCCAAAACTACTCAATCAAAATCTCCATAGTGGGATCTAAAAATTTGCATTTCAAGTAAGCCTTCCCAGATTTGGAAATCACTGCATTAATTAATCATAACAAAGCAAGTAGAGTTATGGAAGAATTTAGTAGTTAGTCTGGCCTTAGCCTAATTATTAAATTCTAACATCCCTAACACAAACAAATAAGGCCTGATTATTTTTCTTTAGAATGGGGATTAAATCACACAGAGTACAAGACTATCTGATTTAGGCTTTCCCCGTTTCTATAAACACTGCTGATAAACAACTCTAAGCCAGAAGTCCTCAGTCTAAAATACAAATCGTTACTGTTAATGTAGTCCATTTGTTTCTGTTCTGGAAATGGCTTATCATGAGTCATTATTTTCCCTATAACCTTTAACAATGATAAAGATATTGAGATTTTTTAACTCTTCTCCAGATTAAATCATCTACATATGCCAAGCAAAGAGGTCATTCCTGATTACCTGTCCTAGTAAAGGGAATTCTCCCCTGCTCTCCAAAGTAGCATCGATTACCAGCTGCAGGCTCTCAGGTTGAGGGTGAGGGATGGGCTCTAGTGGGTTCCTGAGTCTCCTAAAATCATGCATGCAATTGTGTGTGCATTTTTCTAGGAAAAGGCCTATAGCTTTCATCAATGTTCAAAGATCTGTTACTTTCACTGACTGACCTATTTAATCCTGACATAGAATTAAAAATTGCTTTTGACAAGTGTGAACATGGGGAAATCTATTATCCCATCCATCTGTTATTCTAGTGTTATAGTAGCTAGTGTTCTCTGATACAGGGATTATTAAATATTTATTACTCAACTGAACAGAGTGGACATAAAATAGATTCGAATTCATTAACAACACTGTAAGGATGTTATTCCAACCTGAAAGTGCCCTACACTGTCAGTACAGTTTCTTTAGTTCAACTTTTCTCCCTTTCTCTTTTTTAATTGCACGAGCTTTTTCAAACCAGAGTCCATAAGGGGGGAAAATGAGGTTACTGCAATAATTTAAATATCATTTTACTGTCCAAAAAAAAAAAAAGAAAGCCATCACTTATTTGAAACCTAGTATATTTGACTAGTATATTTGACACATGACTCATGGCTCCAAAAATCTTTATCGTAATTACTCTATCACCTGCAGGATAGATGTAGTGAATACCTGCTGCATGATACTGTACTAAGCAGATTATATTTCATCTTCAATATTAATAGAAGTGAAGTTTTACAATATGGCTTCTACAAATGGCTTCCACTATAATTGCCTTTAAGCTGATGATATGTTGACTGACAGGAAGTATCTCTCTAAAATAAACACATGTAACTACTTGTATGTGCTAAATGTTTCTCTACATATATCACTGCCAGGTTTTTAGTCAGAACATATTTGAGCAGTTCCTCATAACAAAATTATTTCCTATCCATATAAAAGGGGAGAGGCTTTACATGAACAGCTTCAGACATTAATATATATTATAATCATTAGCCAAGGTTTTTTTGTGCATGATTATAAAAACTACAAAAACCTAATACTAGTACCCTACAATTTTTTGTTAAAGAGAATTTTTTAATAAATTAAATAAAAAATTTCTGAGACAGTGAGGAAGGGAGTATGGGTGGGAGCTGAAATATAAGGCCTTAATTGCCAATCATGAAAGGGGCCAGTTTATGTATGTTACCTTATTCCTCTTAACCCATGGAGTACTTATTTTTGTCCCCATTTTAAAGGTAAAAAGATTGGCACTTAGTTAGGTTTGGGTCATCTAGTCATTTTGTGAGAGAGAATGTAATTGAACCCACCTGACTTTAATCCTCCTTCTGCTCTCTGCTGACTACAGTTCACTAGGCAGGGGCATGCAGATCCCTGCGGTGTTAGTTGAGCTACCTGGTTATTCCATATAAAGCAGTTGGCATTCATTCATTCACTTCTTCACCCAGTATACCATATTAGTGCTTTTTTGCGTAATAGCAGTAGTTGGGAGAACAAAGATTAAATCTAAGGAAGAAAATGACAGTTCTCTCACAATGAGAAAATATCGGTGCAGGCTGAGGATGGTGCTTGTCAGGGAGAACTAGGTTAAGTTAACAAGCAAATTCTTGACCTTTCAAAACTGAACCTATTTTTTTTTCACCATGAGGAATTATTTCAGACTTGCTTCAGAAAATATTTTAGAAATAAAATCTAATCTAGCCTATCTGTTATCATTTTCTAGACCCTATTTATGGTTGTTGTCAATATTGATTTATAGCACATTGTAAATAAACTCTAAGTCCTGAAGGAAATGAGGAAAATTACAATACAGTTCAGTATCCCAAACAATTCCATTAATTAGCTAATTGACTGCCCTTTTTGTTATGTTTATTTAATATTGGGGTGGAAAAGACCTTTCTTTTTTCCCAGCTTTCATGATGTGTAATTGACAAATAAGAGTTACGTATATTTAATGTGTATAATGTGATGGTTTGGTATACATATACATTGTGAAGAGTACCACTATCAAGTTAGTTAACACATCCATCATCCAATTAATAAAATTTAAAAAAGAATAATATGTTACCTTAAAAATGAGAAAATAACTGTCTTTCTGTTTTATCTATTTCTTCCATTTTTTATATGAAGTCTTTTCCTCTTCCTTCAAGGTTGTATTTTCACTATTCAAGTTCGCACCAGGAAGGACAGCCATTTCAGAAGGCTGGGAAATCCTGAGGGCCACCCAGATGCTGGGCGCAGCGTTGGCCAGTGTGACACTTCTTGTAGCTTAATGAACTGTGGCAACGGTGGGACCTGCATAGACAGTGGAGCTACTGTTTAGTATGACGTTAGGAAGGAAGGTAGTGGATTATTAGCACTCTAGCTGGTACTTCAGTCACACAAACTAGGCACACAAACTGACCCTCTTATCTTAAATGTTTTCAGGTAGACTTGCTAGATGACTAGGGGACAGCTAAAGGAAACTAGAGAGAAACCAACCCGGCATTTGCATCATCTTCTCAATTCTTTTAAATTTTTAAAAATATATTCTTATTGATTTCAGAGAGGGAGAGAGAGATAAAAACATCAATGATGAGCCCGGCTAGAGTGCCCCAGTGGTTGAGCATCGACCTATGAACCAGGAGACCATGGTTCAATTCCCAGTCAGGGCACATGCCAGACTATTAGGCTCAATCCCCACTAGGGGGCATGCAGGAGGCAACAATGGATGATTCTCTCTCATTATTGATGTTTCTATCTCTTTCCCTCTTCCTTCCTCTCTGAAATCAATACAAATATATTTTTTTAAAAAGAATGGGAAGTGTCAGTAAGAAAGTGAAGGTGAAGGTACAGGTAGAAAATTCATCCTAACTCCTTATTGTCCCATATGGAACAAAGGCCTAGCTAGCTGTTTCAACATACAGCTATTGCCGGCAAGACGATGAAACCTCGGTTCTTGTCTTCCTGAAGGAAAGATTTCAATCAAGAGACAAAGTTCAGCAAAGCAAGCAAGAATTTATTGTCCACAGCAAAAACACACTGAGGACAGTGAAACATGGAAGGGCATAGAAGAAGCAACAAGACAGCCTAGACTGGGCTGCTTTGGCTCACTGGGAAGTCAGAGAAAAGGGAGACAGGTTCAGGGGGTTTGCCAGGACAATATGCCACTGCCCACTGCTGCCTTGGTTGCAAGTCTTGTGGGGTCCCTTAGAGGTTAGGGGATACGTGCCTGTGGAGGAAGAAGAGGGGGAGGGGAACAGTTCAGGATGCTCCCTTAGGGGAGAGCACTCACTGGGTCTTTTGTGTTGAGGGTATTTCTTTCTCTCTCTCTCTCTCTCTCTCTCTCTCTCTCTCTCTCTCTCTTGCAGGTGGGAATCTTAGGGGAGGTCTTAGGGGAGGATCTCAATAGAATATTCATCAGCTTTCCAGGTGTGCTTTTTCAGGGTCTCCTTCTCCACTGATTGGTCTGCCCCAGGGCAGGGGGTCATCAGTCAATGCAGCTGGTCCTGAGGCAGCCACAGCATCACTTGTCTTTTCTGGGCCTAGAGCTGAGGCCTAGATGTTATCTTTAGGGAGGAAAAGGTCAGGGGGTCTACACCACATGCACAGCTATATGCTAGGGGAGGAAAGGTTACTCTGAGGGTGAGGTTCTTGTTTCCCAGTTTTGCCCCTTGCTAGACACCCAGGGCTTCAGCCCTGGTGACCTTCTGTACCCGACCCATCATCCTTGCTCTGCTCATGTCTGTCTGTCTAGCTCAGTGGTTCTCAACCTTGGCTGCACATTAGAATCACCTGGGAATCTTTTTAAAATCCTGATTTCTGGGCCTCATCCCTCGGGAAATTCTGTTTGAGTGTTATGAGGTGAGGCCACAACATTAATAACATAGAAACAGAATTTCCGGAGGATGAGGCCCAGAAATCAGGATTTTAACAAGATTCCCAGGTGATTCTAATGTGCAGCCAAGGTTGAGAACCACTGGTCTAGCTGCTTATAACAGAGCCACAGGTGTTGATCTTAGAATACATCAAGCCACATACAGAAAGACACAACTATTTGAAGATTATTTTGATTCACATAGGAAATTTTTTGACTTGTGATAATAAAAGTAATATCTTTCAATTGTACAGCACTTTGTGGACAGCAAAGCAAATTTCTGCATGCACTATTTCCATTGCCCCTAATTAAAACTTTCTAAATTAGTCAGGGACCATCCTGGCCCCAATTTAATCCATGGGAAACTAAGCCCAGCGATTATGAGTAAACAAGAGGTTGTACCAGCATCTTGTAAGTAGTGCGGCAGGAACCAAAACCAAATTTCCCAGTTCCTGGGTCAGGATTCTCTCAGGATCTAATTAGCAAGAAATTACTTTAAAAGCAGCTAGCAATTAACAGTAGCTCCTTATCAGCTGGATGTAATATATTCTTTTTTTAAAATATGTTTTTATTCATTTTTAGAGAGAGGTAGCAATAGAAACATCAATGAGGGAAATATCATAGATCAGCTGCCTCTTGCATACCCCCTGCTGGGGATTGAGCCCACAACCGGGGCATGTGCTCTGACCTGGAATAGAACCAGTGACCTCTTGGTTCCTGGGCCGATGCTCAACCACTGAGCGACACCGGCCAGGCTCATTTATTCTTAATTTTTTTAATGTTGACATTATCTTCAATTAGCATTTTCTATTTTCTCCAAATTGGACGTACCTTGCGTCATAAATCCCAGGGCGGGGGGGGGCGGGGGTGTCATAAATTCCTATTTGGGTGGAAAGCTGTATGTCACAGACTTGTATGAGAACCTCAGGTTTCAGTAATGGAACTAATACCTCTGACAAGATTTCTTACAGGATTCTACAATCTTTCTTATCAAATTATGACCACTGCCTGGGACTCCCTTGTTGACATAACAACAAAATATTTACTGTATCGATGACTCATGAAGCATTACCGCAGAATGAGAAGTAGCTCTTGTGATTATTATATAATGACATTAAAAGGATGGCTCCCTGACCTTAAAAGCAGTGGGTTTTATGGTATGTAAATTAGACCTCAATAAAGCTGTTTCAAAATAAGGTTCCCACTCATGGACATTCAACTTCAGTAGCAGCATAAGTTTAAGGAGAAGTATATTCATTTTGACAGTGTTTGGAATTCTGCTCTAATCTCAATAATAAGAATCCTGTTTTGTTTTTATTGAATTTATTCTTGTTTTTAAAGGAAAAAGATGTTCTTTGTAATATACTTTTTTACACAGTTTGTTTGGTTTTTTTAATCCGCACTCGAGTACATGTTTTCCATTGATTTTTAGAAAGAGTGGAAGGGAGAGGGAGAGACAGAGAAACATCGAAGTAAGAGATAAACATCAATTGGTTGCCTCCCCCATGGTCCCTGAAAACGAGGTACGTACATGCCCTTGACCAGAATCGAACCCAGGACCCTTCAGTCCGCAGGCTGATGCTCTATCCACTGAGCCAAACCGGCTAGGGCTGCAATATACTTTCTAATAGTGTTTCAGAAGTTTTCCTCTACCCTTGTCCTAGTCCCAGGCTCTCAACTGTGTATGGCTCTTCACCTTTATTTTGCGCCTGTGTGGGTCCCCTACTCAGAGTACCCCAGATGACCAAGGCCCATTTGCCATACACACGCGTGCAGGCGAGGGCACAGCAGTATTGTTAGGTGCAAGGCCCCTTTGCCTACGCAGGTGCGAGGGCAATGACCATGAGTAGCAGTATACACACTGCGCAAGCGCACCCTTATGTAACCTGTTGATGTTAATGTAGCACGAGCGTCTCTAATTGGCAGAGGCCGCTGCGTTTGAGCGCGGATATAAGTTGCCACTGAGCAGCCGGCACAGGGCGGCTTTTGGGGGGCTGCCGTGAAGGACTGCTCTGTCCGATGGCTCCTGCAGCAGCAATGCCACTTGGTCTGCAATGAAGTCTCTCCTCTATATGCCAACAACTCTCAGGTCTTCATCTAATACCCGGCGTCCGAGAAGCTGTGCTCCCACAACCAGAGAAGTACTGAATTGAATTTCCAGGTAACATTATTGACAGCCCAAAGCTAAAATTCAATCTTTTCTTGAAAAAAAAATAACACATGATAATTTTTTTTTTAATGCTCAAGAGGCAAGTCCCAACCCAGAAGCATAAATTTCAGAATCAATTTTAAAAACAAACTCTCAAAGCCACTCAAAGTGTTTTAACAGCTTAATGGTATAATTTTTTATTAAAAAATTAAAAAATGGCAAATGCTCGTTTTAGTTCACTTCTCACAGCAGGAGGGGGGTGGGGGGAGGCATTGTTCTGGTACCTAAGGGGAAATCTTGTGCCAAGTAAGGAGGGAGTGGGGCTTGATAAGGCTTGGATCCGGGGCTGGGCTCCGGGAAACTGCTAAAAGCCTTGCTTTCCTGCTCCAAGTGCGTCAGCAAACACAGATGCAGCTGCTCAAATGAGGGTGTAATAAGGCAGAGTTCATGTCAAGCCTTATGCTCCTGGGATGAGCTCTGATGCAACAGAGAAACAGTGAACTCTTTCTGTTGTTAGTAACCCAGGCTAAAGAAAGGGGGGAGGGCGTTTAGTTCTAACTCAGCTCTATATGCACATTTGTTTGGTACAAAGTGTTTTTAGGCAAATTTGACTTCATTGAAGTTGTACTTCGTTTCACCTTAAACTGATATCCTGGCTGTGATTGAGGGTAATAGGTGACGTGTTCCTTTAAAAAGTAAGCACAGTGTAGGAAAACCAAAAGTTCCAGAAACAGATGTCAGCATGAGCAGCACAGAGAGTGAGGACAATAGGAGTTCAGAGAACCTGGATGTAAAATGGGAAATGCATCAGAGATTTATACCAAGTTCATAAATGAGGCTTATTTATAGCATAAATCTATCAGCGAGCACGAAATCTCACTGCTCCAGAGTTTCCTAAACATTTTTTGGCTCACAGATAAGGTCAAAGATCTTTCCAAGACTCATGCAAGCACCAGGAGGAAAGTATGTTCTCTAAGCCTTCTCTTGTTCCCATACAGACACTATAACTTACATGCCTAAAAGTGATAGTCAATTTCTTTGATTTTTGCTAAATGAGCAAAGTCATTCACACTTTAAAATAGATCAGACTGGTTTGGCTCAGTGGATAGAGCATCGGCCTGTGGACTCAAGGTTCCAGGTTCAATTCCGGTCAAGGGCACATGCCCTGGTTGCGGTCTCGATCCCCAGTAGGGGGCATGCAGGAGGCAGCAGATCAATGATTCATTCTCATTCTCTCTCTCTCTCTCTCTCTCTCTCTCTCTCCCTCCCTCTCTCTCCCCCTCCCCCTCTCCCTCCTTCCCTCTCCCTCTCCTTTTC